AAAGAAGAAGAAGAAGAAGAAGAAGAAGAAGAAGAAGAAGAAGAAGAAGAAGAAGAAGAAGAAGAAGAAGAGAAAGAAGAAGAAGGAGGAGGAGGAGGAAGAGAAGAGGAGGAGGGGAGGAGGAGAAGGAGGAGGGGGAGGGAGGGAATGAGAGGGGAAAGAAGGGGAAGGGAGGGGAGGGGAAAGAAGTGGAGGGAAGGGGAGGACAGAGAGAGAGAGAAAACTTGGATTCAGCCTTAGAGTGGGAAAGAGCCTTTTTGACTGGAAAGAATCTCCTGGAACAGAAATCACACTCTTTGGTGCCTTCCTTGGTCAGGGAAAGTAGAGAGGGAGTTCAGAATGTGACCAGGAAGACGTCAGGCTTTCTTATCTTGGGACGTGGGAAGGAGAATCAGGAACTGTCTCGATCTTGAGGCCAGTGCCACCTGTCTCCCACCTCTGCTAAGATATTGTACCCTCAGTCAGGAGAAAAAGAAGGTAGCCCAGACTTCAGACTCCCAGGCCCTTGGGGCATCACTGGTCTTACCTGAGTGAGGTCAGTTTGCAGCCAGCGTAGAGAAAGCCGAGCGTGGTGTTCTTGAATAAGGGCCCAAGCTGTCAGAGTAGAGAGGTGAGTAGGAGGGTTAGGTGGGCAGAGGTGGGCAGGAGTGAGATGAGCAAGCCTTGGCGTGTTGAGGAGACCAGCATCAGGCGTTCCTGGCAGGGCTGAGGTGAGCTTGTCCAGCATTGGTGGACAGGGCTACTATCAGTAGGTGGACATTTGCTTGTAAGATAATAGCAATTGACACAAATGACAGGGTGAAGGCAGGCAGATCTGGTGTCAGTGAGGAGGCATAGACTTGTGTGTGTGCGTGTGTGTGTGTGATGTCTGGCAGGATGTGTCCAGGCGGACCAGTTTGGTGTCCATGGGAAAGCATGACATCATGACCTCACGGGTAGGGTGAACACATGTAGGTGAGGATGAAGTGAGGTGAGTGGGGCCCTCACCAGGCGCTGTAGGATCCTCTCTGTGATGTTGAACTTCAAGGAGCCAGGAGGAAGCATGTCTTCCTGATAGAGGAGGTTGGTGATGGTGAAGTTGAGGGTGAAGAACACCAAGGCAGGGCCAGTGGCTGCAATGAAAGCAAGAGAGATACTTCTTGAACTGACCTCATGTTCAGGGTCCGCCAGCCTGAGCCGTCCTACAGTATGTCTTCAACCTTGACCTGGTGCTTCCTCTGCAAGAAGGAGTGTCAGTAGGGAAGGGACCTTAATCTGGACACTAGCGTGAACTACACGACGCTGGGGTGCGTATACAATATTGTACTACTGTCATAACACTGTTGTTATTGTGTGTTGTTAAGTTGGAACTGACTCATAGCTGGCACTCCTGCAGGTTTTCAGAGGTAGTTAATTCCATGGAGATTGCCCATCCTTCTCTCACAGGGCAGCTAGTGGATCTGAACTGCCTACCTTTGGGATTGCAGCACAGCTTCTTACCAATAGGCCACCAAAGCCTTCTGCCATAACATAGTCCACAAAGGTAATGTTATACATCCTACTTTGGTGAGTAATGACTGGGATCTTAAAAATCTTACAAACAGCTAGGTCTCTTCCTGCCCAGAAAAAAGAAGAGAAAAAACCCCAACAGTACAAAGAAACAGTTAGTCTTAAGGACTAACAGGCTGTGTGAAGCTCAAGCTGCAGGGCACAGAGATCAGAAGGAATAGATGGTGCCCTGCTACCACTACTGCATGCTCTAAAAGGAACCAGTAGATGGTCTCAGACCAGAGTGAGTGAAAGATGTAGAACAAAACTTAAAGACATCAGAATGGCCAGGTTTACTAGTTTTATAGAGACTAGTCTTACAGAGACTAGTGGAGTCTCTGAATTTATGGCCCTTATTCACACTTTGAACCTAAACTAAAATTTACTCTTGTGGTTGACCTTGCAGTCAAACAAACAGGCCCATCACATGAACAATAGTAACTAACTGAACTAAGGCCCTCAATCCTCAGAAGACTCAACCACGTAAGATAAAAAGGCCAGCATCTGCCCAGGGAGAAAACTCGGAAGGTAGAAAGGGACAGGTCGAAGGATTAAGAGAAATGAGAACCCCAAGGAAGAGGTGGGAAGGGTGTGGTTGCATTGTGAATATTGTAATTCATGTCATAAAACAAAATATATATGAATGGTTGAATAGGAAATCAAGTTACTTTGTAAACTTTTACTCAGATCACTATAAAAAGAAAAGAAAAAAGTACACTTTGGAAGCAAAAGATAGAGCAAACTTTTGGGCCATCTAAGATTCTATAAATTTAACTGTGTTTTTCACCCATAATGGTTCTCTGAAACTCATTCTTCTTTCTTTTTAATCTTAGTTTTTGAATTTTATTTTTTAAATTAATTTTAATGAACGTTTACAAAGACTGAGGATTTCTATTAATTCATTGTTGCACTTTTCTTCCTGCCCACCCCTCCCCCCCCAATTTGCTCTTCTCTTTGAAAAGTAAAAGAAAAATTCTTTCATTGTTATACAATCCCTTCCCCCAAGTCCACTCCACTATGCAGCCTTCTCTCTGGACTCCTGTCATGACGAAAATACCTAATCACATATCCCTTTTAAACAATTCTCTCCCTCATCTGTTTCAATGCAGTATACATTATTTATCCCATCTTTCTCAGTATCCCCTCAACCCTGATGTCAGTCCTGTTTTACAACAGTGAAAGTCATTCTACTGATAAAATTTTGTTTTGATTTATGTAAAGAAATACTTACATGGGAGATAGATAGATAGATGATAGATAGAGATATACTCCCTGCCCTACTTTAAAGATTTTACTTAAATTTTAACTGTAGACTTGAGATAAATCCACTGGATGGAAGGTAGTATTATCACCCTCATTTTATAGATGTAGGAAGCAGGTAAAGAGTTTCAATAGCTTAGACCACATCATACAGTGCTTAGGTGGTAGACTTTGAACCCAGACCTTATGGGCTCATAATCTGTGTTTCTAAGCCTTTCCCTTAGGACCATGAGACAGTCCAGGAACGGACTGTGTGCTGCTGTGGCCTGAATGCCTTCAGGAAGTCTTATCTAATAAGTTATGAAAAATATGCATAAGGCAGGTGATTGCAGTGGCTTCTCCAGGCCTCTCAGTGGGACCAGTGGATGATACTGAAATCTGCTTTAGGCTGGAGAGAACTGATTCTTAACCTATCCTAATTGTGCCCATGTCACTGACCGTGTCCTTAAAGGACAATTTCAGATTGTGCATATCATTCTCACCATTCCCTTTTATCCTGGAAATGAAAGAGCATTAAAGAGAAAACCTTCTACCCACTGCATGGCCTCCGAAGCTCTGCTTTGTGCCAGCACTCTGCTGATTACAACACGATCCTAGCGTGTAAAGGTGTGCTTGGTTTTCCTTGCTGAGAAACCATCACAGATGAGGTTCCTTGGAATTCTCTTTCCTGTTGCATTGCTGGTTGTAACTGTTGTCAAAGCCGGGTGAAAAGACAGCAAGGATGGGCAAGGTACAATAGTAAATAAATGACCTCTTCATACCCAATAAAACAAAATGCAGCCCTGGCCCTGGGCCATTGTCATGATCAAACACTGGTGATCTGTACAGCTTCCACCAACTATTTTTGGTGGGTTTTTTTTTCTTCTTGTTTTTTTTTCCCCTTTGAGAGAACGATTTATTTGCTTCTCAGACAGAAGATGTTACTTTTTCTCCTTAGATGAAGGCTTTAAGGCATGGTCGTCTGGCTCTTAGTGATCCTTGAAACTGGCCTTTCTCTTTTCCCGAACGCAGTCATCCCCTCTTTCCAGTCATTAGTAGCAAAGGTGGAATAAAAGAGTTTCTTCTCCAACTTATTTCCTTCTGTTAATGTCATTTCAAAAGCTGCATTCACGGACTCTTTGACCATCGCTACGACAATTTTGGAATTGTTGGCAATCTTTTCTGCACAGGCAATGGCTTCTTCAAGCAGGGTCTCAACAGGAAAAACCTTACTTACAAGACCTGCCTGCTTGGCCTCCTGGGCTGAGATCCGGTCCCCAGTGAGGATCATTTCCATAGCCAGCGATCTGCCGATGGCCCTCGTGAGCCTCTGCGTGCCCCCTGCACCTGGGATGGTTCCTAAGAGGATCTCAGGCTGTCCAAACTGGGCCTTCTCCCCTGCGTAGATGATGTCACACATCATGGCCAGCTCACAGCCCCCGCCCAGAGCATAGCCATTGACTGCAGCAATCACTGGCTTCCTGGCTTGGGCGAGTCTGTCCCAGTGGCTCAAGAACTTGCCAGAGTAGCAGTCCTGGAACGTCTGGTTCTGCATCTCTTTGATGTCTGCTCCCGCTGCAAAGGCCTTCTCCCCTCCGGTAAGGACAATAGCCCCCACGGCCGGGTCCCCCTCGAAGGCCTCCAGTGCCTGGTTCAGCTCCATTACGAGGCCATTGCACAGCGCATTGAGCATCTTGGGGCGGTTCAGTTGGATCAGCCCCACGTTGCTACTCTTCCCCTTCTTCTCTGTGATGATGTACTGGAAGTTGGCACCCGAGGCGAAGGAGCGCAGCGTCGAGGAGCTGGCCTGGAGCTTCATCGGGCTGCGGGCGAGGGGCAGGAGGACACGCAAGGCGGCCATGGCGAGTCCTTGTTTTGTTTTTTAAGTAGACTCCCAGGCCTATCGTCCTCGTTCATCTTTGCCTGGAAGCTTCACTGAAACCAGTTCAGCCTCTTAGCAACCTGCAAACTACCTCTGACAGACGGGAAGTGGATGCTGAATTGGCCAGCAGGCAGCGCAGGTGTCCTGCGTGAAGGTGGAACTTCTACCACTCAGCTTCTCCTGCCTCACTGCCATGTTACGAGAGCTTGAAGGCTCAGGGTTTATAAGTACTTGTTCCCCGGGTGAATGAAGTGTCCCGGCTCCACACAAAGTTCCCCACCGTCACGAGCTTGAGGACTGTGCAGGAGGAATCTCAGAGTGGAAGCGCCTACCTGTGGGGCTTGCAGAGGTCGCCACAGGAGTTGCTGCGGAGAAGGTCGAGGTAGCAGCCGCTGAGAAGAAAACGGAGTGAGGTAAACAGACGGAAGGGGTTCCCTCGGCAAAGAGGGGCCCACCCTGGGGCCTTACACCCTTTTTCCTCTTCCACCTCAGGCCTGGGCTGGGTTTGCCTCTGCTGGGCCTCTGAGGAGGAAAGTCAGGGGTGATCCTGGCCCTTCCCCTCTTGGGGTCTTTGGAAAAGTAGCATCTTAGGGTTCCAGTACTCACTGCTCAGGGTGGAGGTCAGGACCTGATAAGTGTAACCTGCAGAGAGATAGAAAAAGGGGGTGAAGAAGCGTCACAGTGGGAAGAAGTGGAAGGAGTATGGGGCACAGGGGTTTTGGTAAATCGACTCATTTAAAGAGTATTTGGAGAGAGTTCTTGAAGCACAGATTTTATGGATAAACCCTAGGAATGCAACTGAATCCCCGGGAAGGGTTTCCATGTGCAGCCCTCTCTGTGCCTCACTGTCTGCTCCTTGGTCCCCTATGCTGTTTCTCTCACTCTCAAACCCCTTTCATTTTTTACAGCTGTCATGAAAAGAAAATTTAAAGGCATTATAATTTTAAAAAACAATACCATAGTGACTCCATGTTTGCCAAAGTAGAATGGAATGGTTTCTGTGACTGATTTTTCCCAAGTAGATTGCCAGCCCTCGAGAGCTGGACTTGAACGGCCAGCCTTTATGTTAGAAGCTAAATACTGAACTATTTGCACCACCAAGAACCCAGAAATGTCCAGTTCCTCATGAATGAAAGATGCAAAGATGCAGGCCAGTGTGGGGCAAGCTTAGACCCTCCCTACAACAAAAGGCCACGGACAAAAGATGTGAATGAACTGAGCATGGTGGCTATGGGAGGCCACAGGGGAACAGGAAGGGCCTTTGGCTGAGCACTGAACTCACCGTTGACGTAAAGGCTGTCCTTGTCCAGCGTGTAGGGGCCCAGCTGGGTGACATCTTGGGTCTCCTGGCTCAGCTCCCAGTATAATTGCTCTCTGTCCAAGCCAGTGCTGGTTGGGTCTGAGAGGTAAGTGCACACAGCATCCACGCTGGTTGCCGTTCCTTTTTTCTCAGATCTGGAGATGAGAAGACACATGTAGGAATGCTAGGAAGGGGGAATATTTTTTCTTTCTTTAAAAAAAAAAAATAATTTTCATGAAAGTTTACAGAGACTTAGGGTTTCCAGTCATTCATTGTTGCACTTTTCTCCTTGCCTCCCCTATTCACTCTTCTCCTTGAAAAGTAAAAGAAAAACTCTTTCATTGTTATGCCATCCCTCCCCCCAAGTCCACTCCACTGTGCAGCCTTCATTCTGGACTCCTGTCACGACAATAATACCCAATCATATATCCTTTTTAAACAGTTCTCTCCCTCATCTGTTTCAATGCTATATACATCATTCTTCCCCTCCTTCTCTGCCTTCCTTCAACCCTAATGTTCATCCCGTTTCACAACAGTGGCCTTATGCAATATTTGTCCTTTTGTGACTGAGATATTTTGTGGAGAATAATGTCCAAGAAAAGCTACAAAGCTGGCCTAACATTTCTTCGATGGTGAAATGACTCTGGAAGTTCATCCACTGGTATTTCAATCACCAACAGGGCTCCTGTGTGCTTTCAGATGGAAGCAAAACAGGAAGTAAGACCTGAGGCTCTACTCTTTCGAGAATTAGCCTATGAACCTTTATAGGTTACAACAAAACAATGTCTGACTTGTTCATTTGGGGGACAATGCAAAGAGGACATCATGTCTGATGCAGAGGAGGGCCAGACAGAGTGAGTTGAGCCCCTCGATGAGATGGATGGTACATTGGCCATGTTGCAATGATTGAATACGACACGCTAGCTATCATTAGGATGGCATGGGACTAGGATGACACAGGACTGGGGATGGATTTGTTCTGTTTTATGTTTTTTTGTGGGCTGTTGAGTCAGAACTGACCCACAGCTGACCCTCCAGTGGGTTTTCAGAGGCAGTAAATTGCATAGGAGGAGATAGCTTCTCCTCCTGTGGTGTGGCTATTGTGCATAGATTTTACTACATCATTGGCAGCTAAAAACAATTACAAACACAGAAAATTTGGAAATAATAAAGAAATGGAAAAAAAAACCCTCTGGAGTTGCAAGCAACAAATGTTGGCGAGGTTGTGGAGATATTGGAACCCTTATTCACTGTTGATGGGAGTGTAAAATGGTGCAACCTTGTTGGGGAGCTCTGGCGGCCTAGTGGTAAGGAGCTGCAACTACAATCCCAGAGGTGCACGGTTCAAACCCACCAGATGCTCTGCCGGGGAAGGTGGGACAGTCTCCTCCTGTACCAGTTAGATCTGATTTGACGGTACACTCACACAAAAATAATAAAATAATTTTTTTTAAAAAAAGTGGTGCAACCACTGTGGAAGGCGGTATGGCACTTTCTCAAAAAGTTGCAAGTAGAGATACCATTTGACCCAGCAATTCCACTACCGGGAATATACCCCAAAGAGACCATAACTGACATCGAAGTAGATATATGCACACCCATGTTTATCGTGGCTTTGTTCACAATAGCAAGGAGTTGGAAACAACCTAAGTGCCCGTCAACAAACGAATGGCTGGAGAAGCTGTGGTATATTCACACAATGGAATACTATGCTGCATTGAAAAACAAGGAACTCATGCAATGTTATTCATAATGGGTGACCTTGGAGGACATTATGCTGAGTGAAATATCTCAGTCACAAAAGGACAAATACTGCATGGTGCCACTGTTTTAAAACAAGACTGACATCGAGGTTGGGGGGAGACTGAGAAAGATGGGTTCAATAATGTATACTACATTGAAACAGATGAAGGAGAAAACTGTTTAAAAGGGATATGTAATTAGGTATTATTGTCATGACAGGAGTCTAGAGTGAAGACTGCATAGTTGAGTGGACCTGGGGGGAGGGTTTGTAAAACAATGAAAGAATTTTTCTTTTACTTTTCCGAGAGGGGAGTGAACTGTGGGGGGAGGGTTGGTAGGGGAGAAAAGTGCAACAGTGAATGAATGGAAATAAAAAAAGACAAGAAAAAAAAACCACCCAAAAATCTCTGGAGTTGACACACACTCAGTAGAGGAAGAAGGTGAATGGAGACTGCGATTGGCACTATAGGAGTTTGGCATCCACGTCCTTCCACCACACTAGTAGATAATATGGAGGGGGAAAGCCAGTTAGGGACTAAATATTGTTTAAAGAGCGTTCACGCCACAAGGAGGGACAGGAGGGATGGGTCTAGGAAGGGGGCAGGCATGAATATCCTCTCCTGGCATCTCACCTGAGCGAGGTCACTCTGCAGCTGGAGTAGACGGTGCCGACACTCGTGTTCTTGAACAAAGGACCAAGCTAGAGAAACAGAGGCGCAGGTGAGCAGGAGGGTGGAGGCCTTGCAGACGTAAAGCAGGATGGACTATGGGCCTTCAGAGCTCTTACAAGGCGCTGCAGGACCCTCTCGGTGGTGTTGAACTTTGCAGACCCGGGATACCCCATGTTCTCAGAGAAGTGCAGGTTGGTGATGGTGAAGTTCAGGGTGAAGAACAGCATAGTAGGACTTGTAGCTGCAACATGGGATGTAGATCAGAAATCCTGTCCTGTCCTCTGAGAGGATGCTCAGTGCAATTCTCCAGCTTCCTCCAGCCCTCCTACATGTAACATTTGATTCTTCCCACCAGAGGGCTTCACTTAGCTATGTTCTTGATCAACTATTAGTTGTTGTTGTTGTTGTTGTTCTTGTTGTTGTTGTTATGTGCCGTCGAGTCATTTGCGTCTCATAGCGACCCTGTGTACAACAGCCCTAAACCCTGCTCTATCCTGTGCCAATTGCACTGCCTCTGACACACCCATCCCGATTACCCCAGTCACTCAATCATTCCATCTCATAGAGGGTCTTCCCCTCTTGCACCGTCCCTCCCCCCTCCCAAGCATGACGTCCCTCTCCAAGGACCTGTCCCTCCTTGCGACATGCCCAAAATATGTCAGATGAAGCTCCAGAATCCTTGCCTCCAAGGAGTTGCTTGGTTTAATCCTATCCAGGATGAATCTGTTTGTTTTCTTGGCAATCCATGGTGCTGGAGAAGAGTATTGAATGTACCATGGACTGCCAAGAAAACTATTAGTAGGGAGCATCATATAAATCATAACAAATAACTTGCATTCCTGGAACTGGGTCTTCTTGTAGGAGCCCTGATTGGGGGGCAACTGCCGTAGTTTCTAACAATTAGGCATTTGAAAATCCTTTGGAGCACAATTCTACTGAGACGGATATGGGTTGTAATTTATTGGGAGTCAACTCAACAGTAAATGGTGTTGATCTAGTCATCAAGGGCTCAGAAGTAACGATGGAGATGAAGGTGTGGCCTCCCAGAAGGAGCTGAATCCGCTGGGGAGACACAGCCCTGGTAGAGATGCTGCTTGAAGCAGAATTAATTCTTTATTTGAGGTGAAAATATATTTAATTCTTTATTTGAGGTGACAATATATTTTGACTTTTCTCCTGCTTGAGCCCATTTGCTCAACCTTGTTTCCTGTGGCTGATGGGAGCACAGAACCAAAAAATCTGTTTGGATACTGTTAATTCTGACTCATGGTTGACCCCCGTTATACACAGAAGGACTGCTTTTATAGGCTTTTGTTGGCCATAATATATACTACAGAAGCAGATGCCAGATTTTTCTTCCATGGCAGCTGTGTGGGTTTGAACTGTCAACCTTTACATTGGTAATCAAGAGCTGTTTTGTGTTACTCAGACAGTAGTATGTAAATGTGTTTGTGTTGTGTATGAGACACAGGGAGAGGGAGAGGGAGAGAAGAAGGAGGAGGAGGAGAAGGGGAGAGGGAGGAGGAAGCGAGGGGAGGGGAGGGAGAGAGAGAAAGAAAGGGTATCATTGGTTGGATATATAAACCTGGGTTATTGAAGGGTGTTAAAAATGGACTAGTTGCTAACTTGTTCAGGGAAAGGGAAGAGCAAGCTTAGTTCAAACTGGTGATTTCAATCACAAATCAGCTGAACCGAGGTTTCAACTCACAAACAACCTCTCCTATGTGAGACAGGGACTCAATTTCCATAACAACTCCAACGGAATTGGTTTCAACTGCTTGCAGAGCTTTGTTGATAATGATCCTGGAGAGATTAGCCAAGGATAGATGAATACTGTGATCAATTAGTAATGGGATAGGGAGGGGTGGCACAGGGGTCCTGGGTTTTCAATGTGTGATCTGCATAGAATTTGACTGTTATTCAAGATTTGAAGCAAAGTAGGAAGGAAATGAATGTTTCCATAGATTAGAAAAAAGAGTGTTCCATTCTGCCCTTTCCTGGGCAATCCACTTTTTTCCTGTAGACCTATCATAGATAAATAAGGCTCTGGACACCAGGGAGGCACAAAAGAGTAAGACAATGACTTCAGGCAGAAAATTTGCTCAGTGCTGAGATTGACAGAAATGAAAAAAAAAATTATTAAAAATCATTCAAAATCAGGACAATGCAAGGGCATGCAAATTAGACTTATTTTAAAAATAAGCAATCTTATGTAAAGTGATGAATTCATTCAATAAAAGGTTTGCATAACCTCCTGTCTATAATGATAGAGATTTTTTTAAAGTATATTAAATAATAGTTAGAGGCTGAGCATAACACTTGGTACATATTTTTTATTGTCCTTGTAATCATCATTATAATTACTATTACCATTAGATCACAATTATCACCATTATTATCACCACCATAGATATCATTACCACAGTCACCACCATTGCTGTCCTCAGCATCATCTCTAGTATTATCATCACCCCCACAAGCATCAAGGGAGTTCCAGTGGCCTAGTGGGTAAAGAGTTGCACTGCCAACCCAAAGGTACGTGGTTCAAACCCACCAGATTCTCCATAGGAGAAAGATAGGCAATACCCTCCTGTGTGATTTATAGCCTCGTAAACCCACTGGAGGGCTAGTTATAGTTGATTCTGACTCGATAGTACAAAACAACAACCATTACTACTATTTTCATCACTATAAACATCAAGACTATAAAGTCAGTGAGGACAGACATATAGTAGGTTCTCAATAAATGGTTATTAGTTGGCTCACCATCATTATGTTTACTATGAGAATTGATGCCTTTGAGCTGTGGTGTTGGAGAAGAGTATTGGATGTATCATAGACTGCTAAGAAAACAAACAGGTTCATCCTGGAGAGGGTGAAACCAGGCTGCTTCTCAGAGGCAAGGATTCTGGGGCTTCATCTGACATACTTTGGGCATGTTGCAAGGAGAGACTGGTCCTTGGAGAGGGACATCATGCTTGGGAGGGTGGAAGGATGGCGTGGGAGAAGACCTTCTTGAGGTGGATTGATTCAGTGACTGGGGTAATCGAGGTAGGTGTGTTGGAGACAGTGAGATTGGCACAGGATAGAGCAGGGTTTAGGGCTGTTGTACATAGGGTCGCTATGAGTTGCAAGTGACTCGACAGCACATAACAATAACATCATCTGCGTGAATAACACTAGAGATATTTATACTCATCAGTCAGCCTCTGACAGAGGTTTCCCCTACTTACCTGTGGGGCTGATTGAAGAGGGCTGTGTTCCCACTTCCACTGTTGAGGTTCCAGGAGCTGAGGAAAACCCCCCATGAGTGAAATCAAGACACCAGCATGGTGGGGATACTAAGGAAGAGGCTGTGGGATTTGCTGTACCTGGGTCCAGGGCTGAGACTCCCTTTGGGCTTTGAGCAGAGGGAAAGGTAAATCATCTATGCCTCCCAGTGCCTTCCCTTTTGGAAAGGGCATGAGGGGACCCTTGAAGGAGCCAGCCATATGGTGGAGGGTGGGGCACACTGGGAAATCAGCTGAATACTCACTGCTGGTGATGGGTGCAGACTCCTGATAGGTGAAACCTATAATGAGATGGACAGTAAATAAAGAAGGGATAGGAGGCCAAATGAAGGGCACAGTGACTCTGGTGTGTTGGAGGTGATTTCATGAATCAGGACTGTTGAGATTCTCTATCAACAACCTCACACCAAGGAAGGAGAAACCCTGAGGATGAACTCAGTCCCAGATAAAGAAGACGTGAAGTCCATGCCTGAATCAGCACAGACAGGACACATGGCCAATCCTCCTAGAGCCAGTCGGGGGGCATGACTTCCAACCAGGGACAAGGGGTTACAGTAGGACCTTCCCAATGAAGACTAAGGGACCCTGACACATCCCACCTTCTTACCGTTGACATAGAGACTATCCTTGGCCAAGGTGTAGGGGCCCAGCTTAGTGACACCGTGGGTCAACTGGCTCAGCTCCCAGTACAGCTTCTCTCTGTCCACTCCAGAGCCCTCAGGGTCAGGGTAATGGGTGCAGATGGCATCTACTCCAGTGGCTGTTCCATCCTTCTCAGGCCTGTGTAATAACTCCCAGATGGTTAGTCCCAAGCTCTATCTGCCTTTCCCTCTTTTTTCTTTGCTAGTTCCATAGGAAGAAACTAGAGAAACCTAGTTCACAAGGGAGCTGCTGCCTTGAGGGAGACAACTGATTGGGCTCTGGGGGACATCAAGTTCCTAATGCCTTTAGGGAGAAGTCTTGGGAAACACTCAAGAAGTGGCAGGTACAAAGAGCATGATATGATGAGATGACCAATACTGGAAGATGTCTAATAATACCGTGATAGCCAAGTCATGTCATAGGTCCTGGCTATCACAAGAAGGTGCATAGAGCACACCATGTTTATTGTGGCTTTGTTCACAATAGCAAGGAGTTGGAAACAACCTAAGTGCCCATCAACAAACAGATAGATAGAGAAGCTGTGGTATATTCACACAACGGAATACTATGCTGTATTGAAAAATAAGGAGCTCATGCATTATTCAAAACAGGTGACCCTGGAGGACATTATCCTGAGTGAAGTATCTCAGTCACAAAAGGACAAACACTGCATGGTGTCACTGTTGTGAAACAGGACTGACATTGGGGTTGGGGAGAGACTGAGAAAGATGGGTTCAGTAATGTATACTGCATTAGAACAGATGAGGGAGAAAACTGTTTAAAAGGGATAAGTGATTAGGTATTTTTGTCATGACAGGAGTCAGAATGAAGGCTGCATAGAAGAGTGGACCTGGGGGAGGGTTTGTAAAGCAATGAAAGAATTTTTCTTTTACTTTTCCAAGAGGGGAGTGTACTGGGGGGAGGGTTGGGAGGGGAGAAAAGTGCAACAATGAATGAATGGAAATCCAAAGTCTCTGTAAATTTTCATGAAATTAATAATAAATTTTAAAAAACCCTAAAGAAAAAAAAAAGAAGGTGCATAGAGTTATTCTACAATAGGTAACAGTCCAAGGACAGATGGTCGTGACATGGCTAGTGACAGTACTCTTTAGAGACTCACTCAACTCACTCCTTTTGGGTCAGAACTGATTCACAGCTGACATTCCCGTGGGTTTCTGAGGCTGTAAATCAGAGGAGATTGCCTATCACTCTCCCATGGAGTTACTGGAGGCTTGGAACCGCCAGAGAAGCAGAGGCTTTGGTCAGCTGTGCACCTCCCTCTGGACGATGCCTCCAGGAACATCTTTGTAAATGGTGGCTTCAGAGGTTAAGGTCACGCACTTCAGATCCTATGAATCAGTAAGATGAGGGTATTTCTGAAGAGACTCAAGGAGGCAATAAATGGCTTGGATGCTTTTTATTTCTTTGTCTTGCCTTCTTGTTTTGGCTAGGACTTCCAATATGATATTGAACAAGAATACTTCTTATCTTGTTCCTGTTCACAAGGGGAGCTAACTGGCTTAGAAGAGATGATGTTTTTGTAGGTTTGTCTAAAAGCTTGGCTTGTCCAACGTGAAATCAAGTATCTTTATGTCTCAGTACCCATCCAGAGTTCTAGGACACAGCCCCACCTACTCGTGGTCGTGGTGTTATTTGACGTCAAGTTGCCTGTGACTCATAGCAACCCTATGTACAACAGCCCTAAATCCTGCTTTATCCTGTGCCATACAGACCCTGTGAACAACGGATCTGAACCATCTCAAACTACTGTTACAGTCACTGTATCACCCTATCTTGTTGAGAGACTTTCTCTTTTACCTTGACCCTCTGCCTTTCCAAGAATGATGTCCTTCTTCAAGGACTGATTCCTCCCAACAACATGTCCAAAGTGTGTGAGATGACATCTCACCATCTTTGCCTCCAAGGAGCACCCAAGACAGACTTATTTGTTGAAACCTGCTGGAGGGTCAGTTATGAGTTGGTTTCTGCTCAATGACACATTGTTGCTGTTGTTGACTGCCTTCGAGTCGAGCACGACTCACAGCGACCCTATGAACAAAAAGCCTGAAGCCCCTCTACAACCATTAACATTTATCAAAGTTCATAGAGTTTCTGAGGCATGTTATTTAGAAAGTGGATGCCACACCTGCTTCCAATGCGCATCCAATGATGAACGCCGTCTTCAACATAGAGGGTAGAATTCTACCCCTGAAAAATCACTACAACCTAAACATTGTTGTAGCGATGTTGTGCACTGCCGCATCAGAACCGTCTCACAGCTGACCCTCCAGTGGGTTTTCAGAGACAGTAAATCACATGAGAACAGATTGTTCATCTTTCTTCTACAGAGCAGCTGGTGGGTTTGAACCTTGTACGTTTGCGCTTGCAGCATAAATTCTTCCCACTGAGCCATCAGAGCATCTCTGAATTGATGAGCTGTCAGTTCGGATTCATGATGCTCCCATGTGTGTCCAAGTCAAACACGTGCTCCACACAATTCTCAATGGCTGATTATTCACAGGGAGATTACCTGCCACAACTTCCTTCTAAGGCATCTTTGAATAGAGTTGAATATTCAAATTTCTAGGGAAAGCCAAGCAAATTAACTGTCTACACCAATTAGGGAATCCCATATTAAACACTTTAAAAAGAGTAGTTACTATAGGAAATTTTCCATCAATGGTCTGGCATGGTAAAGGACTTGGAACTCTTTTCCTTACAGTAACTCATTTTATGAATGGCTACATGAGTAGGAACAAATATAGAGTTCTTCCAGTCAGTTGGCCAAGTGGCTGTCCTCCAGATTTTTCGACACAACTTGGTGAGCACATCCAGGGTAGCATGTGTTAGTTGATATATGTCAACTGGTATACCATCAATTCCTGGGGCCGTGAGTTGTATGTTGGCGTGATACTGAACAGACTTCAGCACAGCTTCCAGATTAAGACAGACTGGAAAGAATGTCTTTGTGATGTATTTCTAAAAACCAACCAGTGCAAACTCTATGGATGACATCTGTCCAGTCTGCCAGTGATCACAGGAAAGGATCATGCAATGCAGCATTCCCAATCTTCCTCTACCCATATACACAGGTTCTCTACGAGGGGATGGCCAACATGACAGCAATGAATGACTTCATGCTTCGGTATCCTTTCTAACACCCAGCTATCTTGCACTTCCTGCCTTTCAGCTGGCCCAAGATGGATGACTTTTTGGTTTTTTTTAGGTTTTAAAAATTATGTTCTATTCCTTTTTTTATTGTGACTTTAATGAAAATTTACAGAAAGGTTGACTTTTCATTCATTCATTTTTGCACGTTTTCCTCTGTCCCCCTCCCCTTCCCCTCCCTGAGTCCACTTTGCAATGCACTTTTTGTTTCAGATTGTTGTCATGCATATAATGCCTAACCACATATTCCTTTCAAACAGTTCTTCCCCTCATCTGTTCAATGCAATGTTCATTAACCACTTTCCCCCTATTCTCCCCACCCCCATGTGAGTCCTAGTTTGTAACAGTGGTGTTATGCAGTATTTGTCCTTTTGTGACGAGATATTTCACTAAGCATAATGTCTTCCAGGCTCACCCATGTTGTGTAATGTTTTACAAGTTCACTGTTTTGTTGTTGGGTTGTCTTGGGTTTTTCTAAAATTTATTTTCTGAAGTTTTCTTTTTTTTAATTTTACTTTCTTTTTCTTGTTGTGTATCATTGAATTGGATTAAACTGGCATAGGAGAAGAATGCCCTTACTTCTCCAGGGGAGATTTGAACTGAGCACTTTCGGGATTGCAGTGCAGCTTCTTGGCACTAGGCCACCAGAGCTCCCAAGTTCATTGTTTTTAAACGCTGGGTAATATTACATTGTGTGAATGCACTATAATTTTCCTGTCCATTTGTTTGTTGATAGTTGTAGAGGGGCTTCAGATCTTTTGTTCTTAGGGTCGCTGAGTTATGCTCAACTCAAAGGCAATCAACAACAACAAAAACATTTGTTTGTTAATAGGCACTTGTGTTGCTTTACTTCTTTTCTATTGTGAATAATGCAGCAATAAGCATGGGTGTGCATGCATGTGTTTGATTCATGGTTCTGGCTTCTTTGCAGTATATTCCCAGTAGTGGAATTTCTGCATCAAATGGTATTTCTTTTTTTTTTTTTCCATTGGTTAACAAATAATCCTTTATTGAAATATTTTCATCTGTATTTCCTTAGCTAGCTGGGCATTCCACAGCACCACTGTTGATGTCTTCTATGATGTCAAATGGTATTTCTATTTCCAACTTTTTGAGAAAGTGCAAGACTGCCTTCCATAGTGGTTACACCACGTTATATTCCCATCAGCAGTGAATAAGAGTTCTAGTCTCTCCACAACCTTATCAGCTTTTGTTATTTGCTGTCCTGTTGAACTTTGCTCTGTGGATGACTTTTTGATTCCATGCTGAGTCAGAACCGACTCATTGCTGACCCTCCAGTGGCTTTCTGGGGTGCTAATTCCCAGAGAAGATTGTTTCTATTTCTCCCCATGGAGCCACTTGTAGATTGGAATTGCTGGAGAGGTGTAGCCTTGAGTGAGTCATGCAATCCCTACAGGGGAGAGTCATACCTTCTCCCTACAATGCAGTGTGCTAGTTTTCTTCTCCTCTTACATTATATGGGTGCATACCTTTTTTAGAAGATTTTCCACATCCTACAAGGCCATGATTGGGACAGAAGAAACTATGTGACGGAATTTTGAAAAACAGAACCAGAAATGTATGGGTGGCCTCTGTGCGACTTAGAGCAAGCTGCTTAATCCCTGGGCCTCAGTTTCCATTTCTCTTCCTACTTCAGAAGGTATTTAGGAGACCTGCATAAATGAGGGGGATCCGTTTGCCAAGTGGGGCGTACCTGAGTGCGGCTAGTTTGAAGTCAGAGTAGAGGAATCCCAGGCTGCTCTTCTGAAACAAGGGCCTGAGCTGTGAGGAAGGACAGAGCGGGTGAGAAGGGGCCAGGCAGGAAGCGTCAGAGTTTTGGGCAGGGTGAGGGGAACAGAACTGGAAAGAATGGATACGATGGGGTGAGGTGGGAAGGGTTGGCACCACAAAGTGGGTGTGACGTATATGGATGGCAATGACCCTCAGAAGAAGAAGGGCAAATGGGGCCAGAGGGACGCTGACCAAGCGCTGTAGGATCTTCTCAGTGAAGTTGAACTTGTCAGAGCCCCAGATCTGCATGTCATCCGTGTACCAAAGGTTGGTGATGGTGAAGTTCAGGGTGAACGGCATCAGGAAGGGGGTCACTGCTGAAATGAGAGAGGAAAAAAGATGACCACACTTGAGTTTGGCTTTCAGACAACTTGTGGGAACCCACATGGTACCAGTTGTAAGGGTTTTTGGTATTTTCAATCTGCAGGCTATGATTTAGGATTAAAAACAAGAACCAAAAAAACTCAAACAAAACAAAAACAAACCAACCCACAAAAAAACAGGAGACCAGAAAAGAAGCAGATTAGGACCCCAGCCATGGGTGAGGCCAGGCAACAAGGGGCTGGACCCTGGATCCTCAAGACTGGTCCTGGAAGACTCTAGTTGAGGGGTTAAAAAAGAGCAGCATTTGGACAATTTTATGGGCTGGACGATCAGGAAGGAAAATCCATTCATTCCCATTCAACACAATAGTAGAAATGGTTAGTGGATTAAGTGAAAGGCTGGAGGTCTGAGTCTATCCATAGATGAGCAAAAGAAAGGCTTGATGATCTACTTCCAAAAATGTGGCTCTTGAAAACCCTGCAGGCCAAAGTTCTGCTCTGTTACTCATAGAATTGTCATGCGTTGATGCCAGCTTTACTTTCCAACACTTAACTTTTTTTTAACCATCCGAATGTCTGTCTTTGAAAGAGTTGTCCTTTCAGCTACATTTGTTTATCCCACCTCCCCCTCTGCATAACTCCTAGATCTTGTCCATTCATAAAGTGATCTCACCGTGGAGTCATGGTCATGGCTACACTCTGCAGATTCACATTTGGTTTTGAATCCCCATCTGCCTCTTGCCAGCCATGGGATGTGGGCAGGTTACTCCACATATTTGTACCTCATTCTCTTTAGCTGAACCGTATTTCATAGGATAGTTATGAAGTTTGAAGGATGCTTGTTAAAATAGCACATCTCAGCGGCATTAAGCAGAGTGAAGAAGCCAATCCCCCAAAGTCAAGTGCCTTAGGATTTTGTTACTACAGCATTATTTCTAGCTTTGTTTTAATGTGGTGATACTAAACGTGACAAAATACATGTTGTCTCAATAATTTTGAAATGTGTAGTTCAGTGACGAAGGTTCTCTTGACGAAGGTTGTGCAATGATTCTTGGTACCCTTTTCCAAATCATTTTAGCACTTTTAACGTGGCCTCCATGCTCCCTAAGCAAAAACTCTCCTAACATTCTTAACACAAGGGAAACACAGATGTGTGACACAGTTGGCAGGAGTAGGGAGCATGTGAGTGTGATGATAAATGGTTAGCGTTGTGATGATATAACGGTTCCAGATGCTGATTGTGGTTACATGATTCTACTCAGGTGAGGAAATGACATAAAACCATACACATAACTGAGTATGGTGCAAAACTAGTGAAATCGGACTGCAGTTTGTAGGCTTTACCCAGGTCAGTTTCCTAGCTTTGATATTGTGGTGCTATATGTATGCAAGGACGCTCTGGTGGCTTAGTGGGTAAGGAGTTGTACTGCCAGCCCCAAATCAACTGGTTCGAATCTACTCCTCAGGACAAAGATGAGTAATCACCTCCCATGTTTCTTATGTTGTTGTTGCTTTTATGTGTCATCAAGTCTCCTGCAACTCATAGCGACCCTATGGAAACAGCCCTGAACCCTGCTCTATCCTGTGCCAATCACACTGTCGCCAAGACACCTACCCCCATTACCCCAGTCACTGAATCAATCCATCTCATCGAGAATCTTCCTCTCCTGTGCTGTCCCTCCACCCTCCCAAGCATGACATTCCTTTCCAGGGACTGGTCCCTTCTTGTAACATATCCAAGGTATGTCAGATGAAGCCTCAGAATTCTTGCCTCTAAGGAGCAGCCTGGTTTCATCCTCTCCAGGACAAACCTGTTTATTTTCTTAGCAGTCCATGGTATATTCAATACTTTTCTTCAACACCACAGCTCAAAGGCATCAATTCTCCTCCTATCATCCCTAGTCATTGTCCAACTCTCTGATGCATAGCAAGTGATTGCAAAGACCATGGCCTGTATCAGGTGCACCTTAGTCTCCAGACTGACATTATTGCTCTTACTTTAGAGTGGTTTCTAACTGCAGACTTTCCCATTGCAATACGTCTTTTAATTTCCTGGCTCCTGGTGCCAAGAGTGTTGACTGTGGAGCCGAGCATGTTATTTATAGTCTCTACAACTGCACTGGAAGGTCAGCTATGACTTGGTTCAGACTTAATAGCCCACAACAACAACAACAGCAACAACAACAACATGATTCCATGTGTTACCAGAGTAGAGCCACACCATGATGTTTCCGTGATTGTAATTGCTAAGAAATTAAATTGCTAGGCCTTTGTTTTGCAGTTGCCAGGTAAGGCTAAGTGCAATGTGTTTGTGCCAGAAAAATACCTTTTAAACTTTGTGAAGGGTTGCATCAGCCTGACTTACTCAACATCATAGCTCCTATTCTTAGCACCTAACATGTGTCAATCGATATCTCTTGAATGAAATTCTCTAGTAGTTTATGGAAGTTCTTATATATGAATTCATTTAATCTTCACAATGACCTTATGCATTTGACAGAGGAGAGGAAATCGAAGGACCAAGAGGTAGGTAACGTGACCTGCATCAACACAGCTGTATAGATGAGGAAGACACATCCTTTCTCTTGAGAAGTTCAGGGAGCTTCAGATCCCCTTACACTAGCTTTTCTCTGCAGCTCCATAGTTCCAGCTTTGAAGCGAAAGACCTTTGCTTCTAGAAGGCTTTGGAGAGAGAGAAAGCCCTTACCTGTGGGGCTGGAGAAGGGAACTGGTCCAACTGACATCCCTGGGAAGGGTGTGGAGGTCACAGCAGCTGAAGAGAACAGTCTAAAGTGAGATTGGGGATGAGGTGGGGGCGCGGACACCTCTGTAAATCTTGTTCTGTGTGGCCCAAGTCATGGAATGCAGAGGTGTGTGACAGCCAGGCCCTCTGGCTTCTCGCTGCAAGGTCTTTGACACAGGCTGGAGGGAGGAACTGTTTCACACAAAGGAACCTGGACCACCTGGCCCCCAGCACCTCGAGTACTTACCACTAGTGGTGGCTGCTGAGCCTCGATGTGTGTAGCCTGTAATGGGAAAAATTGACAGAATTTCAGTGCAGAGAGAAGAAGGATGGCCGAGATACAACCTGAGCCCCATTGACCCCTAACTCTAGCAAAGACATCAAATCTACACAACAAGCATGAGTTAAGTAAGAGCGGCTCTATCTGTCTCAGGGAGCTCTGGTGGCCCAGTGGGTAAAGAGTTGAGCTGCCAAGCCAAAGATCTCTTGTTAAGTACTTGTCTGTCCTGCTAGATTTGAATCTGCCAGATGCGCCACAGGACAAAGATGGGAAGTCTCTGTGATTCACAGCCTCTGAAAAACCACTAGAGAGTCAACTATGAGTCAGTTCTGACTTGATGACACTTAGCAATATATCCTTTTCATGAGGACCCCATGTGGGTCAGAGAAGTGTGCTGCACAGGGATTTGAATGGCTGATTTTTTTCTAGAAGCAGATAGCCAGGCCTTTCTTTCAAAGCACTTCTGGGTGGACTCAAACCACCAAACTTTGGGACTAGGTGGGAATTGAGTGAATGGCATCTCTCTCTCATCTGTCATCTGTCTCTCTCTAGTATCTAGTATCTAATATCTAGTATCATCTATTAGCTATTAGTTATCTATCATCTATCTGTCTATGTATGTATGTATGCATGCATTATCTATCTATCTATCTATCTATCTATCTATCTATCTATCTATCTATCTATCTATCATCTATCTATCTGTCTATCATCTGTATCTATCTATCTTTCTATCTATCTAATCTATCGTGTTTGTTGTTGTGTATTGTAGACTCAAAACTGACCCATAACTGGCCCTCCAGGGGGTTTTCAAAGGCAGTTAATGTCACAGGAGGAGAATGCCCATCCTTCTCCCCCTGGAAGAGCTGGTGACCTTGAAGCACATGCCTTCAGGATTGTGGCACAGCTTCTTGCCACTAGGCCACCAGAGTACAGATACTTAACTCATTGCCATTGAGCTACACTCTAAGCTTGCAATTATTTTAGCACATAAGGTTGCAAACTGCTTTTCAAGGCCTCGAGGGAGCTTTAGCACATTGTGAGGGGAAAAACAGAATGGCGGGACTCTTTCCCTCCCCATGGAGTTGGTCAGAGTATCTTCTCTTTCTGCACGTTGAGAGAAAGGCTGCCGTGAAGGTGGAGCCACGAGGTCTACGTGGCCTGCGTGGAAGATCCTATGGTAACCTGGAGAGACACCCTCTTGAGAGGAAGCCTCTCCTCTTCAACTTGTGCTTCTCAAAGGATGCTCACCATTGATGTAGAGACTGTCCCTCTCCAGGGTGTAGGCACCCAGCCAGGTAACACCCTGGGTCTTGTTGCTCAGCTCCCAGTAGAGTTGCTCTCTGTCCAGTCCAGTGCTTGTGGGATCAGGCCGATAGGTACAGACAGCATCCACTCCAGTAGAAGCTGCATCTTTTTCAGGCCTGAACAAAGAAAGACTTGGAGGTGGGGAAGCAGTAACTCCAGGCAGATGCCTGAGAAGCCCAACTGAGCAAGGAGACGAAGAAAGCAGGAGGCTCTCTGAGAACCTCGAATGTCTTTGGCAGAGGTAGAAATACATACACAGTCGCCAAAAGCATCTCCTATCCCAAATGGTCCATCAGCAGGATCAGGAGTTCAATTTGTGATGCAGAAAACCAAAGACATTGCAGCTTACAGTTGAGAAGGCAAGGCATAGAGAGAGAAAACAACCTGCCCCTGGTGACATAGTGTTGAACTTGGGAGTTGAGATTTAAGCATAGATCTGTTAGACCCCAAAGAAAAGTATGTTACCATTATATATTGAACTCATCCTATATTGAACTCATTGCCACCGAGCCAATCCTGACATTCACTGACATCGTAGGACAGAGTCGAACAGCCCTGAGAACTGTACACTGTTACCCTATCTATTAGGTGAGAAAATTGAAGCCCAGCGTAGCCTAATTACTAACCTGGGAGGAGCCAGGACACAAATGTAGGTTTTTGGGTTACAAGGTCCCTGAGTGGTGCAAACAGCTTGCCACTGGAGTCCAACTTAAAGGTTGGTGATTCAAATATACCCAGAGATGCTGCACAATTGGGGTCGCTGTTGGTGCCGTTGGAGGTGGGTCTCACCTGAATGTGATCAGCTGACAGTCAGCAAAGAGGGAGCTGATACTGCTGTTCTTAAACAAGGGTCTGAGCTAGAGAGGAAGGAACGGAGAGTGAGAAGTGAGGTCCAGAGGGCAGAATGTGGCCCGGGAGATTTAGGGAGGGCACTGAGGGCACTCACTAGGCGCTGCAGGAACCTCTCAGTGGTGGTGAATATCTCCGATTCCGGTTGTCGCATATCCTCCACGTAGCGCAGATTAGTGATGGTGAAGTTGACAGTAAAAGGTATCAAGATAGGAACCGCAGCTGTAGCAGGGGAAGCAAGAAGATGTCAGTCCTGAGTCACGTAACTGAGGTTGGTGGAAGGCTCTGAGAACACACCCTAACTGCAGAGCCGAGTTGAGGGTCACATCTGGGCTGCCTTATTAAGAGACTTCTCAGAGCAATCACTGCGCAAGACCTTCTCACATAAGAGGAAGAAGTTCCAGTTTCTAAAGGAACTCTGCTTAAAAAAAAAGTCCTCAGGAATTGATGGAATATTAGTTGGCATATTTCAACAACAAATAGTTGCAGCCCTAGATGTGTTCACTAGTCTATGCCAAGAAATTTGGAAGACAACTACCTGGCCAGCTGGAAGAGATCCATCTTTGTTTCCCTTCACAAAAAAGGTGATAAAAAAAATAATAGAATAGAAATACACATACATTGGAGAAAGAGAAAAGGTAAGGAAAGCCCACGAACCCCTGTTATTACCAGTAACTGAAGGATTCTTCCTTAAAGCTAGAGTCTTGATTTAGACTTTTAGCCTCTAAAACTGTGAGAAAATAGAAATTCTTTTAAGCTAAAAAAAAGGTTATCCAATAGACTGAGGAAATTAGCAAACAATATTGTTAAGATAATATGCAAGTAAAATCTTGTTGAAGATTACTTTTTTTTGAAGATTATTAAAAATTGGATAGAACAAAAAAAAAAAGAAAAAAGTAAATGGAACAGCCTCATCAATAGCAAACTGCTAGAAATTCAAGCTGTGAAATAAGGGTCATCACTGCTGATGTCAGATGGATCCTGGCTGAAAGTAAAGAATACCAGAAGAATTTCTATTTTTGTTCTATTGACTATGCAAAGTCATTTGGCTATGTTGTTGTTGTTGTTTTTTTTGTTATGTGCCGTTGAGTCATTTGCAACTCATAGCGACCCTATGCACAATAGCCCTAAACCCTACTCTATCCTGTGCCAACCGCACTGCCTC